CAATGTTTGCCCTATGCGATGTCCTTTAGTTATTGACTCTGTTATGAATTTATCCCCCATAGATCATCTTCCGGAAGATCAGTGATGTCAAGAAGGAAGAAGAGGAGCGTCTGCGCCAGAAGAACGAGGTGACACTGAGCATCCCTGTGGATCATCCTGTACGGAAACTCTTCCAGAAATTCAAACAGCAAAAGGAGATGCGTAATCAAGGCTCAACCCACATTGACCCGGAAAGGAACCAGCTTCAGGTGGAAAGCCGGAGTGTGCAGAACGGGGCCTCCATCACAGGTGCCAATGTGGTTACTGTGTCTCAGATCACCCCCATCCAGACGTCCCTGGCTTACGTGAAAACCAGTGAGGCCGTGAAGCAGAACAACAGGGATGCGATGGAGCTCAAACCAAATGGAAATGGAGACCAAAAATGTCTCAAAGTAAACAGTCCCATGCGGATGAAAAATGGGAATGGGAAGGGGTGGCTTCGGCTGAAGAACACAATGGGGACCCATGAGGAGAAGAAGGAGGACTGGAACAATGTCACGAAGGCTGAGTCCATGGGGTTGCTGTCTGAGGACCCCAAGTCCACTGACTCAGAGAATGGTGTAAATAAAAACCCATTGAGGAAAACAGACTCTTGTGACAGTGGAATAACAAAAAGTGACCTTCGTTTGGATAAAGCTGGTGAGACTCGCAGCCCCCTGGAGCATAGCCCCATCCAGGCTGATGCTAGGTATCCTTTCTACCCTATTCCTGAGCAGGCCTTACAAACCACATTGCAGGAAGTCAAGCATGAACTCAAAGAAGATATCCAGCTGCTAAGCAGTAGGATGACTGCCCTTGAGAAGCAGGTGGCAGAGATTTTAAAAATATTGTCTGAAAAGAACGTACCCCAGATCTCTTCCCCCACGTCTCATTTATCACCCCAGCACCCCCCCCAGATACCCCGTCAGGATATTTTTAGTGTTTCAAGGCCTGCCTCACCTGAATCAGAAAAAGATGAAATCCACTTTTAGCATATACCTATGTGTATATATGTATACAGGATATATGCAGAGGTGTATATATACCTTTATACATATATATGTGTGTGTGTATACAGTAAATATATATACATATATATTTTCACTTGCATCCAATATGACTTGAACACACCAAGGATTTTGATATGTAAATATTGCATGTCCAGCTGGATTCTGGCCTGCCAAAGAAACAATTATTAACATAGATATTGCTTGTATAATATGCAGTTGACTGCATGCACACTTTACATTTATTTATAATCTCTATTATGTAATAAAAGAATGACTTTTGTGTAACAAAGGCAATGTACTATTTAAAGAATCAGGGTCTAACCTGCCAATATTGCCATGACAGTTTTGATCTCAGGCTGGGTGAACTGAGCTTCATTTCCTCACTGTATTTTCTGCCGAGTTAAACAGTAGATTAACCTGATGTGGAGGAACTCCAATTAGTTCAGACGCGAATTAGTATTGTTTTCTGTTACCATTCCATTACAATATACTGTATATTTGGTGATAAATTCCCCTACTCCTCCTAAAAGGGAGGGCTTAGCTCAGTGGCCAAGGAAGGGCACCATGTCTGGTGCTGGGGGGATCATTGGAATTTATTTGTGTGGGTATTATGCATGCACAGCCTTTTGTTTCAAGTATCTGCCTGCTCTTTTAACATCCTAAGAAATAATAATGGTGATTTATGTAACAAAATGAACCTAACAGAAACTCTCTCACTTCCTGAGTGGAGGTAACTTTCTTGAAAGCCTTTTACTGATGCCATTTTTACTGAACTGTTAGAGTAACATTGCGCAGATTCTCTTTGCAGCACTCGGTGATGGTGTCCGGTTCTGTCAGTATCTTCATTAGGATGTCCCATTTTTGTAGGGTTGAGGTTGCTCTCCCGCTGTCCCCCCATTGCCCCTGGCAGAAAGATTTTGCACGAGGTCTGAGCAAGGGACAGAACAATTGTAGTTCAGCTCCTCGGGAGCCGTGTGAGCAGGTTTGAAAGTCTGAAGTTGAAAGGCTGCTGTTAATTCCCCTCCGCTCTCTTTTCTGAGGACGTTTGTCAGTCTGCAACTGCCATTGAGAACAAGAGAAAATAACAGGTCAGGATGAAATTCTCTTTACTCCAACACATCTGGATGAGAATGTTTGCATGGGAGGGTGGTGGGTGTGTTGGGAGATGAAGTCCTCCCTAGGGTGCTGCCCTTGCCTTGGACTTGTGGAAGGTTTCAGCGTATGGCAGGGGGCACACTTCAAGAGCAGGCCTGCCGTGCCCACACAAACAGCTGTCACATATACTAAGTCCCTTAGGTCTGTCAGGTGCTCTGACCCTCATCTCATCTGGCTCTCATCAGCATCTCCCAGTCTTGAACTATGCTCAGACCCTATCTCCACCTCCTAGGCTAGAACATCACCCTCCACGCGGTGCTGCTGGCTTCACGGGGCTGCAGCAGGGCAGACTTTTGCACTGGATCCTGTTTGTTCTCCTGTTTGGAGCTGACATTTTGGACTCTGACTGGGTCTGCACCTGAGTGTGGTGGGGTTTTTCTGCCTCTCTGTTTGCACTGGTTTTGAATCCAGGCACGTTGATGCACAGCAGAAATGGCCATTACAGCTTCAGAGCTGTTAACCTGTACAGCTTGAGGACAGCCCAGCAGAATACAATGGTTCCTTAAGAGAAGGACTTCCCCTCCACACTTAAATAGCCTCTTGTATCATGATCCCATGTTTTCAGAAGTGCCTGGACTGAAACATGTGTGTACCAGAAGGCATCACTAACAATCAGCTAAATAAAAGACATGCTTAGAATTAGTAGGCATTCTTACCAGACACCAATACCAGATCCGTTACTTAACATTAGGAAACCAAACTAAACTAAATTGCTTCCTGAAAACATAAAAAAACCAAACCCAATCAAGCCAACCAAAGCAACAAACAAAACAAACCATCTTTTGCAGTAGTGCAATTAGGAATCTGCATCTTAAGGTGAACATACCTTCTACTGTGAAATCCAAAGCCACAAACAACCAAAAATTCATAAGAAAGCCAAAGAAGTCATTGCTTCTATTGGGTCAATTAATGGAGGCTTTTGGGGAGATGATGGTCTTTCTCATTTGCTGTTTCTTTCTGTCCTGTTTCTGCCCCTTCTTCAATTCCTTTCTTTATGAAATTATAACTAAAAAAAGGGAAGAATAACAGGCCACCAAAAGGGACAGCCCTTCCCAAGGCTAGTGATTAGGCTGCCTGCTCGTTATAGTTCTCCACAGTTGCAGTTGCCAGTGTCAAAACTTTCAACTGTGTTTTGCAGCTGCTTTTTTTTTTTCACAAGTGCAGACCTGGAACTCTGCAACCATGCTTTGGTCTGCAAGGGCAAATCACGCTAGCAGAACAGCAGGACCTTCAAAGTTCTACTTTAAATCCTGCCCTGGGACCCTGAAAGAATCAGAGGGTTATAGGGTTAGAGAAATACAGGGTTGCTGCCGGCTGCTGGAGTATGTACTGTCATTACGGGTACAGTTTAAGTCCCAAGCTTCGAAGATTTGCCTGACTTGGATTGCTGGTTAAGACAGACACACAGCAACTGCCCAGAGGTGCCCAGTGAATAGCTGAATCACACAGGCTGTCTCGGGGCTGGATTTTAGTAAAGTTCCTTGAATGCATGAAACCACTGCGATGTCATGCTGTAAAAGAGCCAGCAGGGTAATGGGGGTGACTTTGTTAGAAAGCTTTAGCCTTAATGGCATTCATCTGCCTTTGTGAAGGACTTCTTTTCTTTCTCTGTAACTGATACTAATTCTAGATAGAACTGCATGGCATGCAAAGGGATCTCTATTTAGGTTTATCTTGCAAGTCAGGTGTAACTTTGTGCCACTTTACAATGAGAGAACATGTAACAGGATTAATCTGACCTTGAAAATTATTTGAACCTGGAATGTCTATTACAGTTCAAGTGAAACGTGACTGGTTAAAATGTGTAGTGGCTAAAAGCTATAAATACTGTAAAATACTAAGTTCATGAAACAAATATGGTGTTTCCAGCTCCACTTCTAGCGTGGCTTTGACTCTGATATTCCATTATGGTCCATTGCAAGTTCAGTGGAATGAGCTAGTACCTTGCATGAGGCAGTAGTGTGATGGGTGTCTTGCAAACATGATAGATGCAGCCTACAGAAGAGCCCTGTGTACTGAGAGTGCAGCCGGAGACCAAGTTTGTGGAATTGACTCTGGTGGTTATTGCTCTGGAAATCTGCCTTCTACAATTCTGAAGCATTTTGCCTCCAAAATTTCATGATCGAAGCATTACATGTTGTTTCATGGAGCTGTTACCAGGGCACTGGTTCAGCTTTCCCGTACCCTTGCGGTTGTGCATGTCGTGAACCAGTGTGCTGTCAACTGGGGCATTCCTTTTCTGTTAAAGCAGCATGAGTCAGTCTTGTACAGGCTTGACTGAAAGCAACCACCTATAGTCATTAAGTGCAATAAGGACACTAATGTGTCTCTTCCACCTAGGCCAGTGCTCAAGCAGCTACATGCCACATGGAGGGAGCTCTTGGCTGCATGCTTTCCTTTCCTTTAAGAGCTCTATACCTGTACAGTGTTCCTGCCATATGCTGGTAACAGCATTCTTAGCAATTACCTTGTGCTTTGTGTGTTCAAAGCATTTTGCCTGCACATAAGTGGATTTTATCTTTCTGGAGTTTGGAATAGAAATAAAATGTGTACAGAAAAGTAAACACTTTCCAAAACAAATGTACTAGAATACCTTTAGTAGCGTTTTTTGTGTAATGTTACATATATGAGATAGGACAGCACTTCAGGATAATATCTGCAAAAAATTAATTGTTGTAGTGAAGAGTCAGTTCATTTGTATTTGTAAACTTTTTCCCATCTTTCTGTCTTTGCCAGGGGACAGGGGTTAGAGCAGAGCTGACTCTGAAAGTAACAAAATTAAGCTTTGCCCATTTTTCTTTTCACTGTTCTGCAGAAGTAGCACAACTATAGGGACTTGATGCTGCTGGCACCCAAGTTTAGGCTCACTGATAGATTCAAATTCAGTCTTCATTTACCACCACATGGAAAGCATTGGTGTGAACTGAAGGTTGAATCTGATAATCGTATCAGACCTTAAAGTGTATTTTGGAACCCAAGACAACTTTCGAGAACTGGCAGCTGCAGAAATAACATTGTACTATTTACAAGGCATGAGCAGTCGGTCTGGAAGTGACTGAGACCGTTATACAGATGTCACCATTTGCATGGGTCAGAAAACAGATGCTGTGCTCATGAAATAGCTTGGAGGCTTTTGGGGGAAAAAAAAACATTCTGAATTGAAAGAGAAAATAAAAAGCCGAAGGTTTAATATAGAATTTGGGAGTGAGGAAGCAGAGGAATATATTAGAATGAAGCGACACTTTTTAACTTGGATTTTAGGCATTTAGAAAACTCAGACTTATCATTTTGGATGTCAGAGTTGGACAGATTATGTGTTAAAATAAATATTAGTTTTTTCCTAAGTGAGGTGGCATCAAAGTGATACCTGTTTGTTGGGGTTTTTAAAGTGGTCAAATACTGTTTTCCTACAGAAGAGAGTTTTAATAGGTTTTGTTACTGTTGTTTTTAAAAGGCTATATCTAAAGGCTTTTATTTTTTTTACAGTTCTTTTTTGTACAAGAACCTTCTGTGATAAGACATATCTTTAGGTCTATATGATCTATAATGCTTTATAGCTTTGCAGCTAATATGCTTGTTAGAGAGGGTTTGAGAAGTGGGATTCCTCTCTCTATGGCAGCCCAGGCTCTGTGACTCTCCTGTCCTGAGACATGAGAGCAGTGCTTTCCCATGGAGCCTACAGGAAGGAAGAGTTTGATCGAGCTAGGTTTCTGCATCTGGGAATAGTTTTTATGACTTTCCCTTTATATTTTTGGTACAAACGAATAACATGATCTCTATGTGTTTTGATGGTTTTAATATGTTATAGTGCATTTCAAAATGAAATA